GCAGTTTTTAGTAAAAAAAATTGAAAAAATTTCGAAAATTAGCGATTTTTAAATTTGTAATTTTTTTGGAGGTTTCCCCCATTTACGGGGAACGAGGGAAATTTTTTCAATTTTGAAGGGTAATGTCTTCGACTAGATACAATTTGTGATCTTTTGACGTATCGTTGAAAGAAATCGGTTCAGTGAGAGCTGAGAAAAAGTGGTAACAGACACAAAAAAAAAAAAAAACACATCATAATAAAACCAATACCTTCTCAGCTTCGCATCGAAGCTAAAAACCTTCGATGCAAATCTTTAGATTGTGATTAATTTTAAAAAATTGATGGATTATTCTTAATCCTGATTAAGATAAAGTATGTCAAATGAAAAAGGGATTATTAAAAGATATTATATCACATAAAAAAATTATGTTGATCCATACACTTTTCAATAAGGTATAGCATTATAAAGATAAAAATGTAAAAAAAAAATTGAGAATTTTCATGCAAAAATAGCATTCGGTAGTCATTTTCACCACGAAAATAAATCCAGAGGTCAAATTCCTTTTTTCATAATAAAGTACATTACATTAGCTTTATTTTAAGATATAAATAAATTTGTCAAACTTCCCGGAACACTTTCAAAATTTAAGTTGAAAAAGTTGTTATTTTAAATCCTTCCCTGTGGGCAGGTAAAGGGTTAAATTTGTAAAAAAAATATACCAAATGATAGGTAAAGACATCAAGCATCTATAAAAAAATTATATTGATTCAAACATTTTCCAAAAAGTTAAAACAGTTTAAAAAAAAAATTGAATAAATTTTGAACATTAGCGATTTTTAAATTTGTAATTTTTTTGGAGGTTTCCATCATTTACGGGGAACGAGCGAAGTTTGTTCAATTTTTAAGGATAATTTCTTCGATTAGATACAATTTGTAATCTTTTGATGTATCATTGAAAGAAATCAGTTCGGCGAGAGCTGAGAAAAAGTGGTAAGAGACACAAAAAAAAGAAAAACACACCATAGTAAGATCAATTCCTTCTCCGCTTCTCATCGAAGCTAAAAAAAAACATTTTTTATTCAATATATTTTATTTTACGTAGTTTATAATAAACGTTCAAACCGCTGAAAATGTATTATTTCACTGATAAGGTAAGTTTTGTTATTATTACTTTGTTATCATCGGTAGAAATAAATATACATTTATTTTCAACTTGACTTAACTTCACTTCCTTATTTACTTTACTTAACTTAACTTTAAAAACGGGCGGAAAATAAATCAAATATTTCATAAAGTTCTCTAAATATTTTTAATTCATTGGTAAATTGAAAAAATAAGAATAATTCAACATTTATCTATCTAATTAAGTACTAACTATTTCATCTAAATAGTTTACAAATTTATGACAAGTACACCATTAATTAGGTATATAATCAAATAAAGATGATTAATGTAAAATTCTAAACTATTCTAAGATAGCTGTTTCTTATTTTTCATTACTAGATTTTTATCAGTCTTACCCCCTATATCGGTTCATTATGTATAAAAATAAAGAATATAAAATTTGGAATTTATTGGTAAAGTTTAACCCGTGCTCCCTAACCATTAAAGATGAAAAACACTTTATTACTGAATTAACCATGTTTTTTTTTAGTTTTTAATTTATATTTAAGTACAACTTATTTATTCAAGCATTTGTAAGGTACATTATTTGTGGAAAATTTAATAAACGACATTTTTCATTTTACATAATCTTTAATTAATGCATTTGTTTTCTTCAAGTAATTGACGCTAAAGTAAATTTTAACTAAAAAACATCTATTCAAAATATTTATTGTATAATTTATAAGCGAAAATAATACTTAATTATTCGTTTAATATAGTAAATATTAGTTAAATTTCTTTAAAAAAATTATACTACAATGTGTGGAATTTGAATAATTGAAATTAAAACATCAAAACAAATACAACTTAAACAAGTATTTTGCAAAGCTAACGTCTACGAAGTAAAATGTTAAATAGTAACCTAAATATTTTTCAATCATAATTAAAATATTGAGCACTTTCGTAAAAGAAAATTTGGAAATATTACATCTGAAAAATGGGGAATAGAAAAGTTACAAATTATTTAGATTTACAGAAATGAAATACGTAAAACCGAAAAAATCATTATTGACTAACTTAATTGTCATTCACCTATTTAATGAAGTTTTTCCTTTTAAAACAAAATAAATCAGCATAATGACACATAATAATATTTTAAAGCCTATTATTAGTGTTAAACTAGAGCTGACTGACACGGAGATGTTTAACATTATGAATAATGTGATCCTTGGCGAAGTATCGCANGAACAAGTATTTTGCAAAGCTAACGTCTACGAAGTAAAATGTTAAGACTGGATAGTATGAAAAAAATAAAATTATAAAGAGTAACTTATAAAAATAATATATCGTTAGTAAAATCCGTGTAAAGTATAATCAGGCAATAGTAACCTAAATATTTTTCAATCATAATTAAAATATTGACCACTTTCGTAAAAGAAAATTTGGAAATATTACATCTGAAAAATGGGGAATAGAAAAGTTACAAATTATTTAGATTTACAGAAATGAAATACGTAAAACCGAAAAAATCATTATTGACTAACTTAATTGTCATTCACCTATTTAATGAAGTTTTTCCTTTTAAAACAAAATAAATCAGCATAATGACACATAATAATATTTTAAAGCCTATTATTAGTGTTAAACTAGAGCTGACTGACACGGAGATGTTTAACATTATGAATAATGTGATCCTTGGCGAAGTATCGCAATGCTCGTCTGATTATTAGCTTCGATGCGAAGCTGAGAAGGTATTGGTTTTACTATGATGTGTTTTTTCTTTTTTTTTTGTGTCTGTTACCACTTTTTCTCAGCTCTCACCGAACCGATTTC